AGAATATTGATCTTGTCATAACAGTCTGGGGATATATCTCCGGTGTTGAAGTCTGTGGTGCATTGGCCAGTCCGTCCTGAACGGGTCAAGACTAGAGATGAGCCTTCTTGCATGCTTGTCCACAGGTCATCCCTCCCCCCCCCAGTTCCTCTGTCTGCCAGCCAGTCAGCCAGCCGCAGCAGCAGCAGCAAGATGTATGTTGTTTTGTCTTGCAAGACATTGCAGGCAGTGTCTCCTAACTTGGGCTTGAAATGACAGGTCAGGTGGACTTGGGCGCTTCGTGTGTTATACCGTCTTGCATGGGGGCTCCCTGTTGATACACGTGCCCTTGAACTGCTCTTGACGTGCCCTTGACGTGGCCTTGACGAGCCCCTGACGTGCCCTTGACGTGCCCCTGACGTGCCCTTGACGGGCCCTTGACGTGCCCTTGACGTGCCCTTGACGGGCCCTTGACGTGCCCTTGACGTGCCCTTGACGTGCGGTCCATAACCGGTTGCAAGCGTAGATGGCGCATGCCCGTATCAAACGTCTCGCTGCAAAACAAAATGACAACCTGGTTTGAAAATTATATAATAATAATATTAAAACTAAAAAAAAAAAATATATAAAAAATAAAGCCCTTGAGATTGCAAAAAGCCATTACCGAAATTGAAAAAAAAAGCTGAACAAAATATTTCAGTGTAAAATTCAAATACAAAAAATCACTTACAGTATTGGGTTCTTGTTTAGGGCAGATGGAATATTCTCTGATAAAAAAACAAAGAATTGAGCGAGAAACTGAGTGCACAGTGCGACTGTTGTCAGGGAACTACCAAACCCATCGAAGACTGACGACCCAAATGAAGGTTTTATAAATGTGTAACTAAGGTTGTGTAGGGGATACTGTCTAGGGGGGGACTGTCTAGGGGGGGTCTGTCTAGGGGGGTTTGTCTAGGGGGGGTCTGTCTAGGGGGGGTCTGTCTAGGGGGGGTCTGTCTAGGGGGGGACTGTCTAGGGGGGGACTGTCTAGGGGGGGTCTGTCTAGGGGGGGTCTGTGTAGGGGGGGTCTGTCTAGGGGGGGTCTGTCTAGGGGGGACTGTCTAGGGGGGGTCTGTCTAGGGGGGGACCTCAGTACCCCACATGGTTCATAAGGACGTTCCAGTACCCCACATGGTTCATAAGGACGTCCCAGTACTCACCAAGGTCTTCCCCAGTCACCCCAGTACTCGCCAAGGTCTTCCCCAGTCACCCCAGTACTCGCCAAGGTCTTCCCCAGTCACCCCAGTACTCGCCAAGGTCTTCCCCAGTCACCCCAGTACTCGCCAAGGTCTTCCCCAGTACTCGCCAAGGTCTTCCCCAGTACTCGCCAAGGTCTTCCCCAGTACTCGCCAAGGTCTTCCCCAGTACTCGCCAAGGTCTTCCCCAGTACTCGCCAAGGTCTTCCCCAGTACTCGCCAAGGTCTTCCCCAGTACTCGCCAAGGTCTTCCCCAGTACTCGCCAAGGTCTTCCCCAGTCACCCCAGTACTCGCCAAGGTCTACCCCAGTCACCCCAGTACTCGCCAAGGTCTACCCCAGTCACCCCAGTACTCGCCAAGGTCTACCCCAGTCACCCCAGTACTCACCAAGGTCTACCCCAGTCACCCCAGTACTCGCCAAGGTCTACCCCAGTCACCCCAGTACTCGCCAAGGTCTTCCCAGTCACCCCAGTACTCGCCAAGGTTTACCCCAGTCACCCCAGTATTCCTGCAGATCTTTCCAGATCATCACCTTCCATGGTTTCATCTGGCCATTTGAATTCACAGCCGGGTTCCTATTTGAAAAGTCCAGCGGCCGTTTTCTCTCTCTCCGCCCGCTCTCTTCTTTCTCTTCCTTCTCTCTCTACTTTCTTCCTTTCTCGCGCTTCTTTTTCTTTCCCTCCCTAATCTCCCTTCTTGCCACCTCTTCTTTATCTCCCTGCTGTTCTTTTCTCATTTCTCTTTCCATCACTGAACCACCACCACCTACCCCCCCCCTCTCTCTCTCTCTCTCTCTCTCTCTCTCTCTCTCTCTCTCTCTCTCTCTCTCTCTCTCTCTCTCTCTCTCTCTCTCTCTCTCTCTCTCTCTCTCTCTTCCCTCCCACCGGACGGGTACTCACAGACCTCAGAGGTTGATTAGTGGCTCCGGCCGAGAGCAGTTTTATGATGCTCAAGTAAGTCGCCTTGCCTGGCTCCCTTGGGATGTGGATCGCGGGGTTCGAAATATGCACTGATGGAGTTAGGATGTGCAGGGGATGGACCAAGGCGTGCAGGGAAAATACGGAGATCTGCTGGAATGGGTCCAAGATAAGTTGGACTTTTTTTGTACCGAGATGGGACTGGGATGGATAGGGAGGTCTGGTATGGACCAAATATTTACAGAGATAGAACTGGATCGACCTGAATGTGACTGTCATGTTCAGGGATTGGATCAGAGTTTGTGTTGATGGCTCCAAGATGAACAGGAATGGAACCAGGATGTGCAAAGTTTCGACTAAAATGTACACGAATTCAACTGGGATGTGCAAAACCAGGATCTAAATGTATTGATAAGGGGGTAGAAATGTGCAGGAATAGGGTCAAGATGTAACAAGTGAAGGAGGGCATTTGGGGCGTGCTTAGTGCACGATTTGGCGACACGGATGAGGCGATTTGGCGACACGGATGAGGCGATTTGGCGACACGGATGAGGCGATTTGGCGACAGGGTTGAGGCGAGTTTGATGATGTAATTTAACACGGGAATGGGTGATAGTAAAGGATAGCTTTCGAGTAAGGTAGTAAGGTGTGATTTGGCGAATGTAATAGTTTAATGGTGGAATATGTATTGACTGTATAATAGATTTTATACAATATACTGTATCTTGAAAAATATTATTTGATGAATAAGGAAAATAATGAACTCTCACACACAAATTTATTGATTGTTGCAATAGTGAAACAGTAACGAAGTATTATAACGAAGAAATGCAGGTACACAATATATATTTTTTTCTAGGATAAGAAAATAATTTAGTAAAAGCAAATCAGGTAATTTAAGATTTCTCCAGAAATTTGAGGCGAGAGGAGTGGAGGATTTCATTAAAGTAATGGCCGGAGCTGAGGGCCAAGAGACGTGTCGGAAGTTGACTTAAGTCGCTGGGGATTGAACAAGGGAAGATGGTGGCTTCTGGCCCTCCCTTGCACGCGTGGCACTGGCTTATGGCCCGGGGGATTGGGCCTCGGGGGAGGTGGTGGTTTCTATCTCCACTGCATTCTGGCAGTTGGCTCAAGTCCCCGGGGGATTAAACAGCTGGAGATTTCGGCCTCTGGCTCCTCTGCACACTTTAATTCGGCTTTACCACCTCTCGGATGCCATTGGCTCCCTCTACTGGAGGTGGATAACGATTGTAGGTATACATGCACGCGTGTATACAGGAAGCATGTATTCTGGTTAGCAGTTACTTAGATACACATGTATCTGCATCCACACACGCACACATTTTTTTTAACTAATCAACAATCATACAAGGAACCTGAAAACCCTCCAGTGGAATGGCAAACCCCAATACGATTGGTTCCAGCGCCGTCACAAGAACTGTCAGAACGATGTTGAAAGGCAACAGCTTCCTTCATAACCCACCAAAAGCAAGAGTAATAATTATTAATTACAACAGTTATTATAATTATTATATTAATTAATAATTAATCCTCCTCCACCTCCTGCCGGGTTATAAAGGAAGCTCTTGCCATCAACCTCGTTCTGACAGTTCCTGCGACAACGCTGGAACCAATTGTATTGGCGTTTGCCTTTCCACTGGAGACTTTCGGCGCCGTGGAGAGGGGGGGGAGGGACCTGCTGCATGGGTGACAGCTTCTCCTCCGTATCAACCTACCCTGGCTGTGCGCCCTGGAGAGGCCACTCCAGACCGACAACCAGCGCGCAACTCCATAGTCTTCTGAGACTGATGGATGCAAAAAAAAAAAAAAAAAGAACCTGGTGAAACTGAAAGCAAGAGCTGTAACCCCTAACTCATTGTTTACATGCCCCCCTCTCTCTCTCTCTCACACAACCCATGAGCATTGTAAATCAATAATGTGCACTAGTGTGTAGCAGAAGTTAATCCTGGTGCATATTGAGGTGTACAGTGTACCAATTGGTGGGTGACTCAGGTGGCTGTGATGGCCTTAATAAGCCTCCCGCTATTGATAGGCCTTAAGGCCAAAACCTAACATAGCTTCACCCTTGGTAAATATATTCAACTCACTATAACTTTTATAAATTTATATTTAAATTATTTTTGCTTGACAGGGTGGCTAATGATAGTTTAATATTATTATTATTGCCTTAGGGCGACCGACCCTTTATCTCAACAAATAGGTCTCATTTGTAACGGAACTGACCAATCCGTTCAACATGCGACTTACTGGTAAAAATGAAAGCACCGCGGTATTGACGTTTTATATGCGTCGGCCTCAATAGGTTCGTCCGGTTAGGTAAAAAATGCTTAATGTTTTAGGGAGTGGCAAAGAACGTAATGGTTTACAATGGTATCCTCGTGATTACAGCAACCAGGAGGCCTGGTCGACGACCGGGCCGCGGGGACACTAAGCCCCGGAAGCACCTCAAGGTAACCTCACACTTCACTATGCTGTAGGCGAATATTACAAATTTGTCCTTAATTTAAAGTACGGGACTAAGTTATAAACAAAAGTTGTTGCAAACTTGCGAGAGTGGCTAAGGACACGAGTAACTCGGGTACGGACCTCCAATAACTGGGTCTAACTAGCCAGCGCAGCAGGTAAGAGTGAGTTGATTTGCATAAAGAGTTAAGCGAGTATGAAGGCAGTATATGTATGTAAGCAAGTCTTGTGTTTCAGCCTCCACCATCTTGACGAGAGTTGTGTTCAGTGTAACTGTGAGGTAACCCTTCATGTGCGTGTGTTTAGTGTAACTAAGGTAACTTGTGTATGTGTTCAGTATAACTGTGTGAGGTAACCCATCTCCCCGCCTTGTGTCTTCCCCAGCAGAGGGTGGAATGGCACCCGAACGCCGCGCAGATGAAGTCGTGCTACATGAAGGGCGGGTCGGAGGAGGTGTGCCAGAACTACGTGCGCATCCTGACGGAGAAGTCCCCGGGACACTACCTCATCTGTGGCACCAACGCCTACAACCCCATGTGCAGAGACTTCAGACTAGCGGTAAGTTACCTCCTGTCCTAGTAGGGGTTAGTACGCCTGGACCCGTACGCCTGGACCCGTACGCCTAGACCCGTACGCCTAGACCCGTACGCCTAGACCCGTACGCCTAGACCCGTACGCCTAGACCCGTACGCCTAGACCCGTACGCCTAGACCCGTACGCCTGGTTCCGTCTCACCAGGTTAAGACTTAGTATAAAGGGGTGATGACCCTATTGTAATGTTAATATGGATAAGAATAGAAAATATTAGGTCACAAAATTTCGAGTTTGAGATGCTTTAAATACGTTAAATGCAGTAATTAAATTAATAAATACACGACTATCAAATGTTTTATATCCGAATTTAAGTCAACTTGAGTGATTACACTGTTGCAGGAAGGGGGGGGGGGGTTGTTGCAGGGTAGGGGGTAAGGGAAGGAGTACACATAAGGTACAGGTGTGGTACACATAAAGTACAGGTGTGGTTGTGTTGCAGGGAGGAGTCCTGGAGCGTGACAGGGAGTACCCGGGCCGTGGACTGTGTCCCTTCGACCCTTCCCACAACAGCACCGCAGTCTTTGCTGGTTGGTATCTTCCTCCCCTCCCTTCTCCTCTTACCCCCCCTTTCCTCCCTCCCTACCTTTTCCTCTCCCCCTCCCTATCCCCTAACCCTCACCTCTTCCCATCCCCCACTCCTCTTTCCTTCTCCCCTCTCCCCCTTTTTACCTTGCCCTTTCCCATCATGTTCTGTTATCATTATTATATTTGTTATCTCTCTTGTATCCTTCGTAATTATTCATCCAGTCATATTTATCGAATTTGCAACCATATGTTGCATGAGCAACATGTGTGTGTGTGTGGCACGCGGGCTTCCCTGGGAGGAACACACGCGAGGAGTCATGCAGGCATTAACGTGTCCTCTTACGAAACCTGTACATCTTTCCTCAAGCATGGCCGCTTAGTGTGTATGTGAAACAGTTTACGATTTTGTAACTTGGCAACCCAAGGTTATTATTGTGCTAGACAACCTCGTAGCGCTTTGGGGTTCATTAGTAGTTTGTTGAATGTAAACTTAACCGCCATGATTGACGAAAGATGTATACGTTTCGTAAGTGGACAGTTAAGTGCTTCGTCCCCTGCCTTGTGTGGGTGTAATTCAAATTCGTAAGTTGAAACATGTACAATATGAATAGATGCAGCAGATTGTAACCTCATGAACTAAATGTGTGCTTCGGTCTACAATTTTGACCTATTGTCTTGTGGACCTATTTATTAGACCCACAAGGTCTGTTATTGTTCTACTAGACCTATTTATCCTCTGCCCAGTGTAGCAGTGAATACGAGCAGCACCTCACCGTAAAAAGACCTAATTGAATTACTCTACTGTTAAAATATACAATTTTGCCTAAGCAAAGATAGTAATATTGGCCAGGCCTTGGCCAATGCCTGATAAGTCCTGGCCAAGGTTTCCAACTTGAGATTGTGAAACGAGTCTACGATCCTGTGCGTCACGAGCCCACTATACCAAATTCATTTTCTCAACTCCTTTCAGATAGTACAAAGGCTAAAATGTCAGAATAAATGTTTGATTCTTTAGGTAAGCAAACCTTGGATTATCCAGACATTTATAAAATAGGTTTTGATAATTTCCTGTCTCGGTTGGTGGTGAAATCGGATGGAATAATTTTTAACATCAAAATATAATTGTTAATTGTCATAACAAGCCGTGAAGATGAAGTGGACGCTGATTGTTTGTTGTGTCATTGTTCCAACAACACCGAGCTTAGTTTCGCATCCTTCAGTCTCTTGCGCGCGCATTCAGCAACCCTACACAACTTCCAGCGAAATATAAGCTTTCGGATAGTCGGTAATTCCTCAAAGAAAAAGTAAGACCATTAGTGGGTAAATGTATAAGAATTGTCCCAACTGAGATTAGTTCCCGAGAGAAGGTATTTTGCGGGAGACGGGAAGTCTTTGTTGAAGGCCATCAAAGGCTTCCAGTAATCCAATGGCGTTTTTACTCTGGTGTCTGAACGAGCGCCCTAATTGGGACTGTTCCTCTGGAGTTCCTTAACGATCCAGATCGAAAGGAGATTCGCGCCTTTGATTTCTATATAAGAAACCCAGCGATCCACAACTTCAAACTCTTGTCTCATCGGTCCAGGAGATCAGAGCAATCAAGGGGAACCACGGGCCGCAAACAGTGATTAAAGATCGGTTTGTAGTATGAGAGAAAGGTTCACTTTCGTGTGTGTGTGTGTGTGTGTGTGTGTGTGTGTGTGTGTGTGTGTGTGTGTGTGTGTGTGTACGTACGTGTGTACGTACTCACCTTGTTGCGCTTGCGGGGACTAAGTTTTGGCTCTTTGGTCCCGCTTCTCAACTGCCAATCAGTTGCACCATCAGGATCTGCAGATTGGTACAAGAATTCAACCAACTACGAACCACTTAGTTTGATGAAAGGGAGCAGAAGAACAACAGAAGTACACTTACATCGCATCAGGCTTGGATACCCATGTGCATGGGAAATAGTCTTACAGGTTCCGGAAGATGAGAGGAAATGTCGGCACTGTGGAGAAATGCCCAACAGACCACTGGAACATTATCTAAAACGGTGTATATGTGGAATGTATTATCTAACACAGTGAAATATGCGGCTCCAGGCTGGAACCGCGTATTCCAGTATTGGTGACATATGAGGTATACAAGGTTCTGAATGATTCCCTACACAAGTTTCTGAAGGCAGTTCTTATTATTGCCAGCCATGCATACGCCGCTGATGTTATCCTTTTGATGTCGGCTTCAGGGGACAGGTTTGGTGTGATATCAACCCCAAGGTCTTTCTTCCTTCCTGACTCCTGAAGGATTTCCTCTCCCAGCTAGTACCTTGTGTTTGGTCTGCTGTTCCCTGCGCCTGTCTTCATCACTTTGCACTTGCTCGAGTTAAACTCTATTAGACATTTGTTGGACCATTCCTTCAGTCTGTCCAGGTCATCATGTACCCGCTTGCAGTCCTCCTCTCTCTTAGTCCTTCGCATAATTTTAACATCATCAGCAAACGTTGAGAGGAATGAGTCTATACCTTCTGGAAGATCATTCACGTATATCAGAAACAGGATAGGGCCGAGTACAGAACCCTGTGGGACTCCGCTGATGACATCACACCAGTCTGAGTTCTCACCCCCTCACAGTAGCTCTTTGCTTACTGTACTCCCGGTGATGGTGTGTTACAAAGTCCTTTCTCTCCAGATGTGCTACCATCCTTTCTCTCACGAGCTTCTCCATCACCTTGCATGGTATACAAGTTATGGACACCGGCCTTATCTAAGGCCTCCTGCTTATCCCCCCTTTTTGAATATTGGGACTATATATATATATATATATATATATATACATTCGGATTTGTATAGTGTGTACTCACCTATTTGTGCTTGCGGGGGTTGAGCTTTGGCTCTTTGGTCCCGCCAAAGTGTGTGCGTGCGTGTGTGTGTGCGTGTGTGCGTGTGTGTGTGTGTGTGTGTGTGTGTGTGAGAGAGAGAGAGAGATGGAGGACGTTGCCGCCTTGGTCTCCGTCTTCCCGCGCGCGCCAACTTTCAAGGGAACAAAGCCGAGTCAGTTGCTTTGTCTTGCATGCTTTTATCCCTCTGGCGTTCCATATCTGTTTGCAGACAGTGCAGCATCATAGACATTCAGGGCTGATTTAGGTTTTTAGCAATTTTTAACAGTACAAAATATGCCAATAATGCAGAGAGATAATCACGATTTAAATTTTGTGTGAGCGCATTGTGAAATATTTGTATGAAGATAACGTGCCCGCCTTTTAAGCTGAGTTTTTTTTACCGTGTTCCTTAGCAGACAATGTTAAGTTTCATTGGTAGATTTTATTCCCTTCCTCTGTTCTAACAGCCCAAGAGTCGCGCAAGGGTCAAAGTTTGATTACGCGCATGCGTATGAGCCCAGGCATGAATCATGCGCATGCGCCGGAAGGCACACACTTGTCTGCCTTAGCACTGGCAACTAGGCTGTTGTTGTTGGTATAGATTCAGCTACTCGAAACAAGTTCCAAGTAGCACGGGCTATGGTGAGCCCGTAACTTACCTGGCACAGGAGTGGGGCAATTAGCACGGACTATGGTGAGCCCGTGGTGGACTTACCTGGCACAGGAGCGGTGCGTGTGGCAACTAGGCCTCGCCAGCTGATTACATACATGCATCATGTGTGGGGTGGCTTTGAGGATTGATTCCGCGCTCGTCATTAAGAAGTTTTTAAAGTAATTAACAGAAGTTGCAACATTCATTTTGACTTTGCTTTCATAATGGAGTGCAGCTCCAAAAAACTTTTGAATCTTCGTGCCTTTACAACGGCAGACTTCATCACATTATATCCAGCTGTGTGGAGGAATTGATGAGGAAAGCTCCGGCTTGACTAAAAAATAATTTTTCAGAGAGAGAGAGAGAGAGAGAGAGAGAGAGAGAGAGAGAGAGAGAGAGAGAGAGAGAGAGAGAGAGAGAGAGAGAGTGAGTGTGACTGACTGACTGACTCCCATGATAAAGTGTATGACAATAAAGTAATTTATCAAACGTCCTGCAATATACTACCTTCATTATATTGATAAAAAAGGAATTCGTATGGTCTAGGCTCACACAGCACCACTCCTCTGCCAGGTAAGTCCACCACGGGCTCACCATAGCCCGCGCTAATTGCCCCTCTCCTGTGCCAGATAAGTTACGGGCTCACCGTAGCCCGTGCTACTTGGAACTTGTTTCGAGTAGCTGAATCTATAACGACGACAACGTGTGGTCTAGACTGGAGGTGTTGAACATGCAAATTAGGCTGAATCTACGGTGAAGACATGAGGAGCCTAGTTGCTGAGGTCGCTACCTAACCTACTGACTTTAAATTACTTTATATATAAAGTGCTGGGTTAATATATTTGTTACCAACGGCACGCCTAAGGTGAGAGCAGACTTCATTTTAAGGTAACGTTTAGCATTATTTGATCTATCATGTCGTTCACTACCTCGATCACTCTCGTGTTCATAACTTCGGTCACTCACGGACATCTTCAAGAGAAAACTAGATCATCTTCTCCAAGGAGTGTCGGGCCAACCGGGCTGTGGTGGGTATGCGGGCCTGCGGGCCGCTCCAAGCAGCAGCCTGGTGGACAAGCTCTCACAAGTCAAGCCTGGCCTCGGGCCGGGCTTGGGGAGTTGAACAACTCCCAGAACCCGATCAAGCAGGTATGATATTCTTAACCTGTGAGTCATGTCGTTCATAACTTCACTCCCTCATATTCATAACCTGTCAGTCATGCAACCCGCCCTGAGACCAAGTTCATTACATCCAGCGGTCGACCCCACAGACGCATTCATAAATTGTAACATGCTGTTCATTCAAAACAGGAATTTTCTCAAATATAAATTAATATTATAATATATTAACATATTGTGCATATATATAGGCATAGGTTAGGTTAGGTGTTTAGGTTCTGTTAGCGATTATTTGTGTTTTAGTACGTGGGTGAAGCATTTACAGCGTTGTGGTTCGTACAAAAGTCGTCAGTGAAGCACTTATTCCGGAAGTGTTC